ACGGCCGTCTATCTATGCTTTTCATCCGTCGCATTTACAGGCTTCACGCGTATCTCGCCGAATCGTTATCTCGATCGTTTCATCACCGAATTGACTGCTTGATCGTACTTTGGCGACAATGCTAGAAAAATTCCACCTCTCGTCATTCGTCTTTTCTTTTTCTTTTTTTTTTACAGGATACAATTGCGTGATATACCACGATATAATATATCGAAATTGAACCCTGCGGGCTGCGCTGTATTGGCGAGCGATACGGAGAACTATTATACATAAAACTAACTCGACGAAATGAATATCCATTAGTGTATTGCATAAAGTAGCTAGAGGTAATATTATGAGGGAGATAGGGAGAGGGATCTCGGTAATGAATCACTTTTAAAGCCTCGCCCCCGTTGCCCGGGATATGCGGGATGCTGGCCGGCGTTGTTTGGGTTACGATACACTCCTCTTTTATGGAAATTTTGTGCTCTTTTTGCTCTCCCACGTCTATCCTCGCTCATAACTAGTTTCCGAGCGCGAATAGCACGCGCGCTTGCGTAAGCGCAATCCATTTGCCGTCAGCGTCGCGACGGCTAATTAAAAGTTTATACATATTAATATCCCGCAAGTTCCTTTCCCAGTCGTTTATTTACATTCGCTGTCGCTCAGCCGATCGTTTTCGAGGATGAGGTCGAGTTTCGCTTTGGCTCGCGCTTGGGGAAGAAAACGCATCGATGTAAAGGCGTGAAAGGCGCGGTTCGCGCGTTAAAGCAGCGATTTGTACGCTGTCAATCCGTCTCTTTGAGACTCTCAATTTTCGCGGCGACGAGGGAAGTTGTTTGGTTTACATTCGGGGCTATTACTCGTGAAAAGGGAGGGCGCGTGTAGCAGCTCGCCGTGATATCGCGCGTTTCTTCGCAAACGCTCCTGAAGGTACGTAAATCAAAACGCGCGACGAGATTTATGGCGAGGTATGGATAAGGTATGTGTTATGCTTCCTCGTTAGACGGTAAAACCGACGGCGGTCAGATGGCGTCGGGTTTTATATCAAATCGCGCGTCTCACGAGCGTTAATCATGAATTCACTGTGTTCATGTCCCCTGCTTGCCTCCGTCGCTCCGGCGGAGCTAAGAAAAACAAGGAACGAGACCCGTCCGAGATTCATTTGCTGTCTTTTCAATGATCTTGCATCATCGTTCGAAAGTTTTCACTGTCGTTCGTAGAAATAACTCGAGAGATTTAACTGTATGCTAACTATGCGATAAACACTGTCGTAATTAACATCGCGCGTAAATTCTACGCGATTCGCACGAGGAATCTTCTCTCAATTATGCTAATTTCTCGATTTAACGAGATGTAAAAAAATTCCACAGTGACAGAATTAATGTTTCGCGCAGAGTTTCGGTTTATTATAGGAAGAATGTCAGAGATCCGTGGCGATCATTTCCATTGCAAAGGAGAGAGAGAGAGAGAGAGAGAGAGAGAGAGAGAGAGAGAGAGAGAGACACGTAAAACCATAATTAATTTTAATCCCATTTTAATGCGCTAAGCTATTTCAATGTTTAATTTATCTCTAGAAGAATCTATTTTCGATGATAAATATGTAAAGTAAAAGGTTAAAATAATATTATACATTATTAAAAACATAAAAATCATTACAAATGTTTGTTAACGCCTATTTTGATCAGTGCGGTTGAATTTGAATCTTAGTTCGAAGAACTAGAAAAAGATCTGCAGCTGTAAGGTTAATTTTTACTAAAACTATTCTTTGTAAATTCGTTTCTATTATTGTGTAGTTTTTGTAAAAGAATTTCTTCTTATAATAACAATTTATGTATTTGCCGGATATATCGTGCCACTGAAGAAACTTCCGTTCGAGATATGGAGCAACAATTTTGGCGTGAACAGAGCGTTTCACGCACAGCGCATATATATATATATATATATGTGTGTGTATATATACATATCTCTTGGGAAGTTAACTCACGCATAGTTTACGCGCGCAGCAAGTTCCTTCTGGTATCCATCTTCCCCGACGAATCTGGACATCTAAACTTGGCCTTCGAACGCACGCTCTCCTTCTGGATGAGTTTATTAACGGTGCAACGTGCAGAGCCTGTGCGGGAGACAGAAAGGGAGAGCCTAAGTCGCGCGAAAGCGTTCCGATAACCGGAACTATTTGTTAGAGCCCCCGGGTGTGATACGCACATTCGCGCCCGACAACATGTACTTCGGTCCTTTATGCGAATATAAAGCATGCTTTCATGCATCTCGAACGCCACGTTCTGCCGCGTGCCGTAATATACAGGGTGT